AGCACCCACACCCCAGTAGCAGTCAGAGGAGAAGGTGTCCCCTTGAGGGGGTGCCACTTGCTGTGCTGTGGAGGGGCCACCAGGAGCTCAGCTCTGCAGGTCAGGGGCAAGGCACTCACCTGAGCTGCCAGGGTCATCTCACACTTTTCTCCATAAGTATTTACTTATGGGCAGGAGAATTGCTTCAGCCTTCAGACATCTCCTCGGGTTTGCACACAGCTGAGATGCAACAGCAATACAGCAAAAGAGGCCAAGCCTGGTCTCTTCCAGCATGCGCCCGCTCTTGCGGGAAGGCTACGGGCAGACACCGGGAGCTGCTAAACAATGAGAAAGAGATGATGCAACTAAACTGATTTATTTTAAAAGTACAAAACTTTTCCTATCATCAAAGCAAGGCCTGTAGCAAAGCCCCCTTCTTACAAGTGTGTAGGTTGCTTCCCTAGGCTGTATTCTGTACTACACTGGGCTTTAATTCTGTGCCATTTAAGTGGGCTTTTCAAGCATGTTCCTACTATGGCAACAACGCAAGCTGCTAAGGCTCTCAGCATTGCAAGGGCTGAGCAGAGCCAGGCAGCAGCCCTTCCCCACGCTCTCAGAAGCCCAAGCACCAGCACGCTGCTCTCTGCCAGCTCCAGCCCAGGGGGAGCCTGACATACAGTGACCACTGACAAGCTCAGAGGACAAGGAGCTTGTGAGGAGGAAAAGGAAGAGGAGTGGTGAGAACTTGACAGCCACACTCTGAAAACTGGAGTGGGGACAGCTCATAATCTTTTTCAAGCATTGCTCACGCAGTTAATAGGACAGAAAAAGCCATGTCCGGCACATTACAGTTCTTACTATGTTCTGGTTTTAGTTAAAGGTGCTGTCTTCCCTCAACTCTGTAGTTTCAGACTGCAGATTCCCACCCAGCTGCGTAAGTACTGTTTTAGTGACACCATGTGGCTTCTGAGGATACTGTTGAAGCAAGTGTTTTAGAGCAGCAACTTTCAGGACAAGTCCAGAGCCAAGCAAGAAGCTTAGCTGAAAACAGGTGAGAGATGCATCAGGAATGAAGCACAAGACCTTCGGGCCTCATTCGTGGGAGCTGTAATGATAAATGTGTCATTTCCAGATTTCAGTCTGCACATTGCTTCTGGACCACGGACCCTCTGCATCCTTTCCAGTTAGGAAGTTTGATAGAAGCAGAAGTGATAAAGTGCTCCTAACATCCGTGTCCCGAAGCACCTGCTGATGTTTGCTGTTGCCAGTGTCAGATATGCATGCGCTTAAAGCCTAAGTCTGACGTGGGGCTTTGTAAATTAAATGTAAAGAAAAAAAAAAATGTAAATTAAATGTAAAGAAAAAAAAAAATGTTCCACATCCACCAAAGAAAAGTACTATAGCAATTCCTGCATTTAGAAGTGTAGCCGTCTTGTTTTTACCAGTTTCATTCTTCCAGCACTAAAAAGAGAAGGAAGTCTGCTGCCGGTGCAAGCTGGATCCCAGGCTGCAGCACTTTTCACATAGGATCTTGTGGGATAAACATTTTTACAAGCTGAAGGTATGAAGTCGGTTACTTAGAACAGCACCTAACTACCACTGTGCACAGAAAGCATGCCAAAATCTAGACACTGCCCCAAGGTCCCCAGTAATACAAGAACAAGCACTCCCCCAGCCTTACAGCAGCACCCTCTTCTTTTAAATAACAGCTTTCAGACGGGGTGAGCCACAAAGAAAGGCAGAAAGTAGAACATTATTTAGCAGTACTTTGAGAGCCGAGGAATGATTTGCTGAAGAACAGTTTGAGTGTACTTGTTTCACGTTCCCTGCTGGCACACGTGTATCTGCTGCAAGGAGCCTTGATCTGTGTGAGGGAAAGTTATCTTCTTAGGGACAACCCGCGAACCACGACGCTTTGGTACTGCAGGCACAGCCTCCAGGCTTGCAACTCAGGTGAAAACACCACTGATTTCTAGGTTGGCATAATCTGCAGTACTGATTCCCAACCCACCCCACGCACAGATCTCACTCTTTTTGTTTCCTATGCCTCTTCAATGCAGCAGTGACAGCAATAGAACTTTACAGCAGCTGCTTTTGTTGGTTTTACCCTTTAAGTGGCTTCTTTCACCACAACTTTTAATATGTAGAAGGCCTGAAGAGTTAAAAGTATTTAGAGCTGGAGTCTTAGCTTATATTTCATCTACTTTTACTTTACTAGAGTTAAGGAGCAATAAGGAGGGAAGGAACTCACTCTGATCTATTTCTGTTTCCCACAGAAATTCAGTGTGGCTTGATTTTAAACAACAGATCTTTTGATGACAGTTTTGATGCCTGGAGATTTCTGCAATTTAAATCAGTTTAAAAAATTACAGTTGATAAAAAGTCAGTGGAAAACCTCTGAGAAACTCTACTGAGAAATGCAGCAGAGGTTCAGTATGCAGAACGGAAGTACAATCCTTGCTGTATCAGACCAAGTGATCAGACAAGACCATCAGAACAAGAAGCCAGGGAAATAACACAACTGCAATTATATGCTTAGGAACAAGTGTATTGAGTAGAAACAAGGGGAGGATTGAACAGCATCAGTGGTTTACTAACAAAGCACACAGTCAAAAGTCATCCTTGCGACTACCCCTCTGTGCTTTGTAGATATGAACATCCTTACTGGAATCATAGTGGACCTCATATACAGAGAAACGGCCTCTCAGCATCTTCAAGAATTTGTGATCCCGTTCATACCGGATACGACAGGAGAGAAGAATCACAGTTTGCTCTGAGCACAGGTGCTCCAGGGTCTGAAGCAGTTCTGCAAAAGTTTCTTCCAGATAAACGATGTCTGCACCCAGGATGAAGTCAAATGCTCCTGGAGGGAAATTACCCAGGTCTTTTCCCCAAGTCAGTTCCTTCACCACAGCTCTCGGACGTAGTTCGGAAGGTAAGTTAGCCTGTACATTTGACTCCAGGAACTCCAGTGCTGCCGCCCTGTCTGTGATGGTAACATGAGCACCTGAGTGGAACAGGAGAGTATGTCTCAGGCAAATAATCAATGTCCATAAATACAGCATTTGGAATAAGTCAAGCAGGCTCCTTAGTTCCCGTTAAACATTAACAACTCCCCTGAGCTGCCTGATTAAAAACAAACAAACAAAAGAACAAAACAAGCAAAAGGTCCACTATCTACATGCATCCTACCCTTCAACAGTCACTTAAGAATACAAAGTGTACTCCATGTGAAGATTGTTAGGTAGGGAATAAAAAGTGTTTTCTAGAGCTTTTTCTTAGTTCATGAAAGTAAAGGAGTTACTTTCTGCCTTTCCATAGGTGACAACAGAGTAAGTTACAGGGATTGTTACAATTAACCTACTCCAATTCTGTACTTGTTCCGTGGGAGAGGCAGCTAGAGAGCCTTTCACAGATCAGACAAAAGTTACGCCTGTGTGACTTTGCATGTCATGACTGTATTTTGTCAAACTGCTTTGTTTTCATTATTTCAAGAGACACCTTCCACAGCCACAAGAGCTTTAAATTAGAAAGTTAACCTGGTACAGTTAGCACAAACTTAACACAGCACCCAGTCCCCGCTTCCGCCACAGACAGATCTCAGGCAAATCACTTCATTTCTCCAGACCTTGGTTTCCCTGTCTGCAAGATAGGCTAACAAGGTTTACACAAGCTCAGAGAGTGACTTCTGTCTGTAGCTTTATCTGTGCTGCATACAAGGACGAGTGGAAGAACAGCACTTGCTCCCTGGGGGAGAATAGCTGCAGAATTGACTGCAGCTGAGCTGAGCTGAGCACCATGGTAACAGGCGTCGGCCTTAACAGGGTCCCACCATAAAGTAAACTGCAGTGGCACCATTGCTGCAATAAATAACCCAGCAGGCTCTGAAGTCTAAGGGAAGGTGACTCAGGCAGGAAACATCACAGGCCATGCGTGTAGTTTGGTGCTAACTTCTATACCAGGCATGGAGATGTAAAAGTGCTAGTTTTACTACGGTTGTAAATTGCTTTAAACAAGCAAACAAAAAATCCCTTACCTAATAACGTGGCCACTATTCCCAGCAATCCGGTTCCAGCTCCCAACTCAATCACAGACCGATCCCTGAGATCAATGCCTCCTATCTCCAGATAAGCACACAGGACGACAGCCTAAGCCAAAAGAAAATGGTAATTAAGCACAGGGCTCATTTCAGTCATACTGAATACAGGATTTCTGATTTACACTGATATGGGAAGGGTCGGGCACTTCAGGTCTGCAGCAAGACTCAGTTCAGCCCTTCTCTGCCTCCTGTGTGCACATGCAGTCTTCCTATGAATTTTATGGAAGACTCTTGCAGGCAGAAGGAAAAAAGAACCACAGAGGCTACAACTTGGATGTGGTAACACTGGTTCATGAATCCCCAAACGTAAACAGGAGGCAGAAAGAGTTGCATTTGGAAAGGAAAAACTGGAGGCTACCAAACATTGGTGAATGAACACAGTATTGCGAAAGTCCAGGGTAAGGTTTCATAGTATCTAGCGTGGTATTTCAAAATATTTCTGCACAACACTGGCATGTCGTCAGGAAGGACATAGGGAAAGTAAAGTAAGAACACTTCAATCTGGTTGTATCTAATGTGTTATATTTTACAGAAGTCTTGATAAGGCACTCTTTCCATAGCAAGTTCTGTCAAAGCTGATGTCTGTGCACCCTGTGCGCAGATTCATGCGAGGAGTTTGCTAAAATTGCTATGCTTGTTCTTTAAAACTAGAGGTAAAAGTTCAATTTGTGTCTGGACAGAGACAACCGACCAGGAAGCCCTTGGATTCCTACAGCGATACTGTGACCCGCAGCCTTGGGCTTGGCACAAACCCCTCTGTTTTAGATGGTTCTTATCCCCAAGATAAAGTCTATCAGCGGTCCTCCTTGATGGATACAAGTGGCGGGATCCTTGCTGCAGTCTGAAGGGCGTTAAGCAAACATCACGGGCTGCTGTTAAGAAATGGGTGAGAGTTCTGAGGGTGATCTGGAATATTTCCTGTATTAGGCAGTTTAAGGTGGCCCGTTTCCCTTGCTGTCCTCCAGGATCTCTTAAGGGGGGGGGAAATATATAGGAAAAATGCCTTCCCTTAACAGTTTGCCCAGAGAAGCTGTAGATGCTCCATCCCTGGAGGTGTTCAAGACCAGGTTGCATGGAGCTTTGAGTAACCTGGTCTGGTGGGAGGGGTCCCTACCCAGGGCAGGCGGGTTAGAACTGGATGATCTTTAAGGTCCCTTCCAACCCGAGCCATTCTATGATTCTATGACAGTTCCGTGTTAATTAGCTCTCTGTGGTGATTCTGAAAGCCATGGAGTACAGAAACATCCCGTGTGGGGTGAACACCTACCGCATCCCAGACCACGGCCGCCACCCCCAGCCGCCGCCAGTCCTGCCGCAGGCGGATGGTGCTGCCGGCGAAGCGGTAGGTGGCCCAGGGGCTGTGCAGCTGCCGCGCTCCCCAGCCGCCCCCTTCCTCGTAGGGCACCAAGGCCATCCCGCCGGCGGCCCGCCGCCTCCCGATCCGCTGCCGCCGCCCCGGCCCGGCTCTCCGCCGCCTCCTCCTCGCTGTCCCCCTCGGCCCGCCCTGCCCGCCGCCGGGAACGGG